ATTGCTGGATCATATGGTATTTCTATTTCTAGCTTTCTAAGGAAGCGCTTGTATCATTTTGCGTTCCTACCAGCAGTACATAAGAGTTCTGATCTCCCCGCAGCCTCTCCAACATTTGTTATTTCCAGTTTTTTTGATTCATGCCAGTAATGCTGGGGTGTGATGGTATCTCATTGTGGTTTTAATTTGCATTTCTCCAATGGCTGGTGATCAGGAGCGTTTCTTTATATGTCTGTTGGCCTCTTGAATGCCTTCTTTGGTGAAGTGTCTGTTCATTTCTTTTGCCCATTTTTTAATTGGATTATTTGTCTTTTTGTTGTAGAGGTATTAGATTTTCTTATAGATTTTAGACTTTAGACCTTTCTCTGACTTGTTATGTCCAAAAATTTTTTCCCAGTCTGTAGGTTCTCTTTTTACCCTTTTGGTGAAGTCGTTTTTTGATGTGCGTAAGTGTTTAATTTTTAGAAAATCCCAGTTATCTAGCTTATCTTCTGGAGTTTGTGTGTTGTTGGTATGAGTTACGTTTTAAATCAAAACTGCTTAGAGCAGCTAGTTATGCCCTAAGTCCTATACATAACAAACTACTTTTAAAAAATAACTCAGTTGCCGAAATGAAGGTTCTAGGTACCGCAGCCCTCATACCAAACTCTGGGAGCAGCTTCCCAGGTCATGTGAGTACATGCAAAAGAAGTGCCCTGATTATTAGACTTCGTCCCAAATACTCCAGCCCTTTCGTTATTACATTTTTTTTCCTTATTTTTTTTTTCTTTGATGGCATGTGTTTTCAGTATTGGAATGCATGCTTACTAATTGAATGTGTTTAAATTTTTGGTTGGTAATATGGATTTTGAGAAATATGATCTGGTAATACAGGCCATCAATGAGGTGAGTGGCACTGTGGCGCCACTGATCCGTGGTATGACAGTATACCAATGAGAGCAATATAAATAATTTATTGTGGGCACCTTTCCATTAAGTTACGTGGGGAACCTCTAGTTTTCTAAATGTGATACAGAAAAACCAAAACAAACCCATCATGGCTCCCTAACTATCACACAGGAAAGCCATAATTATGGTTGCAAGCCTTATAAAGGAAAAAAAAAAAGGCAGAAGTTTACAAAACTAACACATCCAGGAAGTATCACCTAATAGAATGTTCAGCCTACACAACAATGAGGCTCTAACTCAGGTCTGCTGAACTTCACACATTTCAGAAGGGACCCACCTTGACGCTGGATGCGCTAGAGCCAGAATGCCTTACTCCTGAGGTCCAGAGGCATAGAAAGTGGCTGGTATACCGTTAACCCAATAGTAATAAAAGAGTTAGGTTAATACATTGTTGTTATTGTTGTTGTTAGTTAATATTGAGTCAACTTCAATTCATGGCCACCCGGTGTACAACAGAATGAAACATTGCCCGGTCCTGTGCCATCTTCATGATCGTTGGTATGCTCAAGTCCATTGTTGCGGGCACCGTGTATTTTGAGTGGCTTCCAACCTACGGGGCTCATCTTTCAGTATTGTATCGGATGATATTCTGTTGTGATCCATCGGATTTTCATTGGCTAATTTTTGAAAGTAGATTGCCAAGCCTTTCTTCCTAGTCTTTCTTAATCTGGAAAACTCCACTGAAACCTGTGACCCTGCTAGTATTTAAAACACCAGTGGCATAACTTCCAGCATCATAGCAACACGCAAACCACCACAGTGCAACAAACTGACAGATGGGTGGTGGAGCCTAATATAGAGCCAGTTTAATCTTAACTAAAAGATGCCAAAAGGAAAAGTTACTTTAAAAGTTGGAGTCAAGTTGGAGACAGTTCTGTGGAAGATTCTTGGTGCATCAGACCAACCAGTATTTTCATTCTTGTCTTAAAAAATATGTAATTGCTATTCTAATAAAACTCTAAACAGTAATACGTGTATGGGCACACACGCAAGCATGTAATATTTCCACCTATATAGTCAGCGTGCTATTGGGCTAATCTCTTTACCTTTCTCTGGGACCAGTTATAAAATCTTATAGTTACCAAAATGTCTTTTCTTTCCCCATCTACCTATTTCAGGTTTTTGAACATATGGACAAAATTCAGCTCTCAACTGTACTGTCCAACATCTTGTACTTGCTAATCTTTTTTGCTGTATTTATGGATTGATTTTGTAGAGCTGAGTAGGAATTTAGCGATCATATTGCCTAAGGTGGCCAATAAGTTTCATCTTACTTTCTGTCTCTGGACGATGACCAGTGGCTGCCTGAGTGCTTTGTGAAAACATAAGTGTTCTGAGATCAAGTGTGAGCCCAACAGAAGAGAGTGCAGGGAAGAAAAGCATAAGGGCCTTGTGTTTCTGATTTAAAGTGATGGTTTTTTATTTTTTTTAAGAAGGGAAGCAAGATTTGAGGAACTTAATTTGTCCAGTGTTACACAATGGTAAATCAAAGAGATGCACTTAAGATACAAATAAGTCTAAGACTACGTAATACCCATGTCTTCACCATTTTTCTACCACAGAGAATTAGTTATCCCATTTTAAATTTTATAAGAATATGAATCACGGTATGACTACTAGCTGAAATGTTGATAGTTCGAACCCACCCAAAGGCACCTCGGAAGACAGGCCTGGCAATCTGTTTCCAAAAGGTCACAGCCTTGAAAACTCTATAGAGCAATTCTCCTCAGCACACATAGGGTTGCCATGAGTTGGAATCACGCAAACCCTGCCCAGTCCTGCACCGTCCCCACAATCGTCGTTACGCTTGAGTCCATTATTGCAGCCACTGTGTTAGTCCATCTCATTGAGGATCTTCCTCTTTTACTCTGACTCTCTACTTTACCAAGCACGATGTCTTTCTCCGGGTACTGCTCCCTCCTGGTAACATGTCCAAAGTACCAGAGATGAAGTCTCGCCATCCTTGCTTATAAGGAGCATTCTGGTTGTACTTCTTCCAAGACAGATTTATTCGTTCTTCTGGCAATCCATGGTATATTCAATATCCTTCACCCACACCATAATTCAGAGTTGTCAGTTCTTCTTCAGTCTTCCTTATTCATTGTCCAGCTTTCGCATGTGTATGAGGTGATTGAAAATACCATGGCTTGGGTCAGGTGCACCATAGTCCTCAGAAGTGACATCTTTGCTTTTTAATACTTCAGAGAGGTCTTTTGCAGCAGATTTGCCCAATGCAGTGTGTCATTTGATTTCTTGACTGCTGCTTCCATGGGCATTGATTGTGGATCCAAGTACAATTAAATCCTTGATAACTTCAGTCTTTTTTTCCATTTATCATGTTGCTTATTGGTCCAGTTGTGAGGAGTTTTGTTTTCTTTATGGTGAGGTGCAGTCCATCTGGGGAGCCTTAAAAAATACCAGCCCAGGCCACAACCCAGACTAATTATTTAGAATCTTTGGGGCTATGACCCGAGGCACCAGTGTTTTATTTAATTATGGGAGTATAATTTATATACAGTAAGATGCACCTATTTTAAGTGTACAGTTCAATGAATTTTGACAATGTGCATGCCCATGTAACCACCACCACTTCCAGATATAGTTCATTTCCATCATCCCAGAGAGTTAAGTTTATGCCCCTTTGCTGTTAATTCCCTCTACTGCCTGCCCTAGGCAACCATTGATCTGCTTTCTGTCACTAGAGATTAGCTTTACCTATTTTAAAATTTCATATAAATGGACTCACACAGCTTATACATGAAGAGGTATCTGTGATAAATATTAAGTTTAAAAAGTTTCAGAAAAATATATAAAAATGGTCCCATTAAAAAATTTTTTTCAAAAAAACCAATTATCTGTCTGTTTGCATATGCTTGGTAAAGGTCTGGTAGTATGCATGTCAAATTGTTGGTAGTAGTTACCACTGGGAGTGAAATTGAAGTTTAGGATAAAATTAGAAAGCAGGAACTTTCATTTTTTAATTTTGGAAATTTCTGGATTGTTAGTATCTTATAAAGCAAGCATTTGCTGTAAAATTTTTATAGTATCCCCTTTCTCTTGGTTTCTGCATCCTCTGGGTCAGGGTCGGGTAAGGACCCTACTTGCCTAAGCCTTTCCAGCAGAAAAAGCTGATTCTGCAGCAAAGACTGACTTAGGTTCTAAGAAGAGCTATCTCTAGCAGCAATGCCATGTATCTGAAAGAGTTCTTATTTACCAGAGATAAAGAAACTTGTCACATAAAAGATTGGTAGATGAAGAGTAAAGTATCTTCATAATTCTCACTTGCTAAAATCTGCAAGTAGGTCTCCTGTTGTTGTTAATTGCCACTGAGTCAGTTCTGACTCATGGTGACCCCATGTGTATCATAGTAGAACTATGCTCCGTTGGGTTTTCAATGGCTAATTTTTTAGAAGTAGATCACCAGGCCTTTCTTCCAAGGCATCTCTGGGTGGGCTTAAACAGCCATCCTTTCAGTAGCAGCCAAGCACATTAAATGCACCACCCAGGGATTCCTAAACGCTGCTCTCCCAGTTAACCAGTTGCTGTTGAGTCAGTTCTGACTCATAGTGACCCCGTGTGTGCAGAGTAAAACTGCCCCATGAGGTTTTTAAGGCTGTGACCTTTCAGAAGCATATAGCCAGGCCTTTCTTCTGAGGCTTCTTTGGGTGGGTTCGAACTGCCAACCTTTTAGCTAGTAGTTGAGCTGGCTATAGATTTTTTAATTAATTAATTTTTATTGTGCTTTAGGTGAAAGTTTACAGAGCAAATTAGTTTCTCATTAAACAGTTATTGCACACATTGTTTTGTGACATGGGTTGCCAACCCTATAATGTAGCAACATTTTCCCCTTTTCCACCCCAGGTTCCCTGTTTCCATTCGTCCAGTTTTCCTGTCCCTGCCTTCTCATCTTTGCTTTTGGGCTTATTTAAGTTGTTTCATGGATCTGTCTTTCCTTCCAAAGTACTTGAAATGATGGACTTCAGATATTATTCATCTTACAGGAATGTGCTAAAACTGTAATAAATATTAATCTAGTGGAAGATACTTGCCAGGGGATACCAGTCATGTTCTACTCTCACTTCCTACATAGATTGTTAACTTGTCCTTGGAAGAGTATATTACCAGTTGTTTTTGTTCTTCAAAAAAGACGAAAAGATTAGAGAAGTAGGAAAGGAGGGGTGAGCCAAATGACTCCTGAAACCTTTGTAAGCTTTTTATGACCATAATAATCAACTTCATTTTAATGGCTAAATTCAAAAGCTCTCTCTGTTTCTACCCAAAAGATAACTTGAGCTGATAAAACCAGATATGAACCAGCTGAACTAAATTCTTAGGGCAACTTCATTAATAATATTTGATTTATTGAAATATATTCTCTTCATTTGTTGTTATTGTCATTTTAATATTGTCCTGTTATGCTCTTGTCTGTTCTCTCTTAAAATCAGACTGAAGAACTATACCCTGGTTATTCCAAGTCCAATTACATGTACTTAGCAAAGGTAATGAAGACCACTGTTTTAAGATTATTTTGAATCCATTTACCTGAAAATGTGATTACCTTTTAATATTGATTGTCTTTCATTTCTAGTGTTATTTAGATCTTGAGCAAAAACATGATGCTTTGAAGTTCTGTAATTTGGCATTGTCACTTTCTTCTGTCACCAAAGAGGTAAGTCCCAACAGTGACAACGAGTGCTATTATCTTATCAATACTATTCCAAGCTTAAAGTAAAAACAACTGAATTAGATACATTTCAAGTTTTATTTTATACTAAATCATTTTGACTTGGATTTTACATGTACTGTGAAAGAGTTCCTGGGTAGCGCAAATGGTTAAGTGCTTGACTACTAGCCTAAAGGTTGACAGTTCGAACCCACCTGGAAGCACCTTGGAAGACAGGCCTGGCAGTCTCCTTCCGAAGGGTCACAGACTTGAAAACCCGTTGGAGCAGTTCTGCTCTGCACATGTGGAGTCACCATGAGTCAGATCAACTCACTGGCAACTCACAACCAGAACATGAAGATGATTTTTAAAGTTGCTGTATCTTCTTACGATAACCCATCACCAGGGGACCCCTTGTATTTTTAAGAGGCAAGCAAATCAAGGGCTAGCAGTTAAAACGTGTCCTAGTGCTTTTTCCTGGGTATTAGAAAGCAGGAAATGGGGCAGCATAATGCTGAGGAACTGGGGTTAAACTAGGATAGGAAGCAAACAAGATAAACAGGCTGCCCGGCTTAGAGGTAGGTGAGTGTACAAGGAGTTGCCATCATCAGCCCCCACCTCACGTCAGGGTGTGGCTGTCCAGGGCCAAGTAGAACATTAGAAATATATATTATTTTTATTTTTTTATTTTTTTTGGCCTTTGGACACCTATCACTAACAAAAATGGTAGTAACTATGACATTGCATTGCTTCTTGCCCTTTTAGTAAGTGGCAGCTCCATCCACCCAGCTGGGAAACCTGGGAATCTTCATTGACACCCTCTTTTCCCTCAGCACCCTGAATCCAGACGTCTACCCAGTCACCAAAGTCTTTAAATTTGTCTTCTAGAACATGCCTTGAACCACCTCGCCCTCGTTCACCTTGACTACGTATTATGATAGCCTTCAAAGTCGGGGACCACCAGTTCATTGTTGGCTTCCAATAGCAAGCAAAGCAAGAGATTAAACATAAACCTCAGCATGTCACTTCCCTACTTAAAACCCTTTGCTTTTAGGATGAAGTTCAAAATTTTTAGTATGTCCTTCAATGCTCTGATCTAGCTCCTACCAATTATTCAAGCTTCATGTGATCCCCTCTGTCCTGTCCTTCATGTGTTCCAGCAATATTGTACTGCACCATGTTCTTCCCCACCTTGCACCCTTTGTACATATTGTCACCTCTTCCAGAAACACTCCCACCCAGCCCTCCACTCCTTTCATCAGTTTTATTCCTGCTCTCCCTTTAAACTTTAGCATAAAGTTCATTTCTTCAGGAAAGAATTTATTGATGTCCCCAGTTAAGAAAGCAGCCTGTACTTTTCCTTCATATTATTTAGCATAGTTGTGATTTTGTAGTGATTTATATCATTGTTTACAGGCATACCTTGGAGATATTGTGGGTTCAGTTCCAGATCACCACAATAAAGAGAACATTGCAATAAAGCGAGTCACACAAATTTTTTGATTTCCCAGTGCGTATAAAAGTTATGTTTACAATACTAGTCTATTAAGTGTGCAATAGCATTATGTCTATAACAACAATGTACATACCTTAATTAAAAAATACTTTATTGCTAAAAGATGCTAACCATCATCTGAGCCTTCATTGAGTTGTAATCTTTTTGCTGGTAGAGGGTCTTGCCTCATTGTTGATGGCTGCTGACTGATCAGCATGGTGGTTGCTGAAGGTTGGGGTGGCTGTGGCAATTTCTTAAAATAATGCATAGCCTCCAGCATCACAGCAATACCCAAGCCACCACAGTACAACAAACTGACAGACATGTGAAGTTAAAATAAGACAACAATGAAATTTGCCTTAGCAATTGACTCTTCCTTTCACAAAAGACTTCTCTGTAGCATGCGATGATGTTTGATAGCATTTTACCCACAGTAGAACTTCTTTCATAATTGGAGTCAATCCTCTCAAACCCTGCTGCTGCTTTATCAACTAAGATAATATAATATTCTAAATCCTTTGTCGTCATTTCAACAGTGTTCACAGCATCTTCAACTGGAAGAAGATTCTATCTCAAGAAAACACTCCTTTGCTGATTCATAAGAAGCAACCCCTCATCCGTTAAAGTTTTATCATGAGATTGCAGCAGTTCGGTCACATCTTCAGGGTCCCCTTCTAATTCTATTCTTTTGCTGTTTCCACCACATCTGTAGTTACTTTCTCTGCTGAAGTCTTGAACCCCTCAGAGTCATCCATGAGGGTTGGAATCAGCTTCTTCCAAACTCCTGTTAACGTTGATATTTTGACCTCCTGTCATGAATCGTGAATATTCTTTTTTTTTAATTTAATTGTATTTTTTAATATTTT